AGTGGCTTTGCTTTCTGAGAAAAAACTTCTGGCTCTGCACCTGAAAAAAACAAAAAAACATTTAGTCAAAAGTAAGCAGAGGTTGTAGCATATGTGCTCCCATTAGCTGTTAAATTTAATTAAAAAAGATATTTGTGCATCGTCTTTTCAGTACGAAAACATATTACTTAATATATTTATACCAGTGAGAAAGAAATTGCATTAGGAATATAAATGGGCAACAATTGATGCATGTCTAGCAATATACTGTTTGAAAGGCTGCAAGATGAAATGAAATAGCAAACCAATCACTACTCGAGTCGGACTGGCTGGGAAACTGCACAATACATACAAAAATGTATGCAGATGATATATGAGCAGCTCCACCTAATATAAAAATATTCTTTCCATAGTTATGACTCTAATGTGAATGTGATTTTCCACTCCTTAGCAATACTAGTTTGTGTATTGTATTGTACTGTATCCTACAAGTTTATTGTGGTTCTAAATGTGTTTGTAATATTATTTAGCTTTATTTAGCATTCTGTTTAGTTGGTTAACTTTACTGTATCTTAATGTAGTTTATTTTATTTTTATATGACCTTAGAACAACTCACTGTAGTTTGTTTTAATGTTGAATAAATATTATATTATTATTATTATTATTATTATTATTATTATTATTATTAAAATCAGTCACTGTACAATGGTGACGTAATGCGCGAAATTGTTGCAAGGACAATACTTTTCTTGATTTGCGTGCCGTCGTGCGTCGATAGAAAATGCACGGAATGGTCGGCAGTATCGATCAAGTTTTAGTGCGATCTTTTGGCTTCGTTTTTCATGAGAAAAAAGGCATGATTTTTTTTTAATGGGCCCGATTTAGAAAAATAAATAAACGTACCGTCCCAAATAAGAATGTACCGGGTGGAAATTTTCGGGGAAAAAAAATAAACGTACCGGTACGTTTATTTGGGACATGTAGCGTTCTGGGCAAGCTCTCCCAGTAGCGACATATTTTTAACTTTGCATATGGCGTGATCAGTGGATTACGTAAATAAACCAACACTTTCAATAAGTACATGCCGACCCAACTAAACTTGTTTATGGCTGTTTATGAACAGCGAGAACGCATCTCATAGAACAATAGCTATGGAAATCATAATGTAAATGTTGCGGAAATCAAGCATGGCGATAATGATTTTGAGCGGGGCAGAGTCTGGCAAGCGTCTCAAAGCAGCATTGCGCCAACACCACCACGACGTTTAAATCCCGGAGAGAGCACTGCAAACCTCTTAAGGTAGCGGGACTATTATTTGCATACTTGTTTTCATCTTCTAATTGTGACTAAATGACTACAAATAGACCCGGGAAAGTATATATTTTTAGAATCGCCAGACTTCAA